TATATTTATTTGGCATTCATACGTCGCATCTAGGTGATATCGCGTCCAAATGACCATGCCCAATTGTCCTAGATTGCACTTACCCTAATACTAGGAAGGAAGTACTATTTTTCTGTATATATTTTTTGTCTCTATATAATCGCAGTTTATTTATTTTATTATACCTATTTTTCAGCCATGAAACATGCACTTTTGTTCGTGAGGGAACTTACGTACCGATATATTTTTTTCTTGTAGGAATTTACGTATCAGTATATTTATTTTCATGTAGGAGTCTCGGAATTTACATATGTAAAAGTTTACCTATTATGTTTCGTGTGGGAAATTACAATCTCTCGATTTTATTATATAATAATAATTAATTATTTAGAAATAAAAAATTATTAAAGAGCCAATTTAACCTAAAAATTATTAATGGTTTAATGTTATATCATTTATATTAATGTCAAAGATAAGTAAAGTAATTTCTCAAAAAAATAAGTGAAAATTAAAAGAAAAAGAAAATTTAAAAATTTGCTACAAAAATGTTATTGATAAAATCCATTTTATTTCAAAAATTATTAATCTCAAAACAAAATTATTTATGACAGTAATTAATGATTAATAATAATTGATACACAAACATTCAATATGAAAATTAAATGTAAGTTCATTGCTAAAACCAAAACATTAATAATTATTTTAATTTGGAATTTTCAACCTATACAGTGAGTTTTACGTAATTTTTTTTTTAATGTAATATTTAATATAATGTTTATTGCTGATATCAAATTTAATGATATCTCAGAGCCGAGGGGATATTTTTTTTATTTTTTTTTTTTTATACATAATCAGTTTTTTCCTGATATATTCAAAAAATTATATTAGGTCTATTATGATGGACGTGTGATACAAGGTCTTTTAGAATTGAAACTACAAATTGACAGCAGTTATAATATTCAAAAAGGCTTCAAATATCTTGATCTCTAGTGCCACCTTCACTGAATGTTGTAGTTGGTTCGGTCTTATCCTCAAAAAATGGGCGCCAATGATGCCTCCCGACTGATATTTTGTAATACATTTTACAAATAAGAGGAAAAGGTGCCACATACATGATGTATTTTTCGGGATCAGTACATTTTCCCGACAATTTCAAATTCAACATTTATTTTAATTTTAAATAAATATGTGTTAACAATTATTCAAAATTTCAATAAAATATTATATTACATTATATTTTATTATGTTATTTACAAATTAATGTTAAATTTAAAATTATACTAATAATAACACACTTGCTCTTATTATAAGTATTACTTAATAATGGATAATATTCGTCTTATTTAATTTTTTTTGAATTATCGTACATTAATAAATAATAATAAAAATAATAAAATACTGAAATAGTCATAAAATATTGTATATCAGTATTACGTACAGTAAAAATATGTAAAATATATTGTCGGGCCTCGGAAAAATGTTGTGTCAGGCAAACATATCAGACCCGTATTTTTTATATTTTATTAAACCAAAAAAAGTGCTCAACATGTTCATGTATTTTTCGAAGTATTTTTTTTTGAAAATAGAGTAGATTTTTCAAAATATTAAAAAATATGACTGTTTTTTTATAAGATGTGTTTTTTTTTAAAAAAAAACTACACTTTTAAACCAAATAAAATTCTAAATATTTTATCAAAAACAAAAAAAAAATGATAATATTCACTGCTCTACATTTCAAATCATTTAAATCAATCTAAAACTTTTAGGAAACTTAAAAACGAGAATACAAATAAAAAAAAGAAACCTAAATATAAATATATTATATTTTATAAATATTTTAGATCATTTGAAGTTACCTAACCTTAAAAAACGAATAGAAAACTTAAAAAAAATACAAATATTTTTAATTTATTAAAAACCCATTAAATATATATGTTATATGCATTTATGAATAAATATGCAATAAACTTCGAAATATGTAAAATATGCAATATAAAATTTGGTGTTTAAATTTGGTATGATATGAATCGTGGACATTTTAAACCGCTATAGACGTGCATACTCTTAGTACAAACATGCAAATCCATATAAATCCGGCCTCTAAATATGACTTTTTAACAAACTTCATATTATTCAAAATGTACACATTACTTTAAAAAAAATATTTAAGTTACTTGTGATTTGTTAAATATAATTTTTAACTTATTACAAACATGTCTTAATTATGAAAAAGAAAAAATGTAAGCATGTTTCAATAAATATTAACAATTAGACAATTTAAACCAATTAATAGCTTATGAAATTGTATTAAAAATGTAATGACTATATTCTACAAGTATTTAACAAATAATTTTCATAGTCACTGGTAAGATGGACATTTTTTTTCAGTGATAATTTGGTATGTATGAAAAAAAAAACTAATTTTATGAGCACAGAAAAAAATATTAGTTTTTACAGTATTTACAGTATTTTAGTATTAATATATAATGGTATTATATAAACTAAAATATTGTAGTACTCTAAATATACAACATAAATAACATATATTAAAAACTTATATAATAAAATAGTATTTTAAAGGTAAGCTGTGCAGATAAAAAGTTCAGGTTTACCTGTACTGACAATGTACATTTACATATTGTAATAAATCATCAGATCATCAGGCAATGGAAAATATTTAAAAACTGAACTGAAACCTGAACAGTTGTCAATTAAATCACACACATGTTCTGGTATGCGTAACTGTACAGGTAAAAAATACAAAATTTCAATTCTTTCTATAAAACTGTAGTTATCAAAACCTGTACAGTTGCGTAAAATAAGCTTGTACACTCGCGCCAGTTTGTCTACACAGGTGAACTTTATTGATAAACCTCTTTGACAAACCGCATTATGAAGGGCCGGCTTAAAGGCATGTAAGCAGTATTATATTGTATGAAAGTTAAAGATGATCAATAGTATTAATTTAGTAAACAGGAAACAGAGTATATTATAAATAGATTTATGAAAGTAGTTTATATCCTCCTGAACTTCTGTAAGCAGGAAAATGTTGACTTCCATGATTTTACACATTATGAATTCAAGAAAAATCATTTCAAACCACAAAAAACAATAACTGATTACTTTAAATGTCAAGCCCAGATAATTTTGAAACATGACAATATTTATTTATATAACGCAGTTTAAATAAAATTCAATAGTACCTAAGTAAAAATATTAAATTAAGATCAGTTAAATAAAAAGTCTTGACTAACCGTGGTTTCAATTATCCATGTGACTCCTGAACACTATTACCCGAATAATTGAAGTTATATTGTATACAAAAAAATGATAAAATATATGTTTATAAATTCCAAAAATGGTTCAATTTTTTTACACTATAAAGACTTGTAGTACAACTAAAATATTGTGCTTTGAAGAGTGTACAAACATATAATGTAAAATATAATGAAACTATCAGATCAAATGATCAACATCTATCATTTTTAGAAAGCATATTTTTATCAATGTTTTAGCTTAAATGTTCTCGAAATCTATTAAGAGTACTTTGCTGCTTTAACTCACCAGAAATCTGTGTAATTTATGTAAGCCATTTTAAAATATTGAAAAAAACTAAAATTGTTGGTCAGTAGGTACCTAGATCAACTAAATGTAATAACTACTAAATGAGATTTTCTTATTATTCCTTTCCACTACTAGTAAATGTTAAAAATAAAAATCTGTAATAAAATATATGATTTCATAGAGTCAAAAAATTCGCTAAATACAAAATTCAATTATTATGCATTAGAAGAACATTTTAGTTGAGAAAATATTGTCTGAAGATAGTATAACTATATATACCATATGATAAATTAATTAATGCAAAAAGTTATCAATATTTGGGCCTTAATAATTATAAATTATATTTATATCTACATGACTTACAGACATTTTATTATACATTCAGTACATAGATATAATTTTTCAATACAATGATAAATCATTATTTATTTCTAAGTTTTTATTTAATTATAAATATTAATGACATAATAAAGCCATATACAATAAATACAATTACACATATTATTGCTGTTCATGATGTTATATAATAGTTTAGAAATTTAGTTAATGTAACCTATATATAAATTTTATTTTTATAATATAATAAAACAAAAAGCAACATCAATTTTCATAAATTAGTATAAAATAATTTCATTAAAAATGTGGAACAAATAGAGAAAATAAAGAACTTCCATATATTATTTTCCATATTATTTTTCAAACATTTAACATAAAAGTTAGTATACTTAAAAAAACATTGTAGATATCAATAAGAAATTTAAACGATTTATTAGTTATTATGGATTAATAATTAGAATACTATACTATATTTACTATACTCACTATACCAACTTGTTATAAAATACTTAATATCTGTGAATTTAAATTTTATATTATTTTTGATAGTACCCAAATAATTTTCTAGTTTAATTTTGATGTTGCTTTTTAAATATTTTATTATTATTTAATTAAGTACTTATCAAAAATAGTATAAAAATAAAAATTAGTTATAACACAATATCAACAATTAGAGCATACCTACCTATACTAATGTTTATTATATTATATTTTTATTATAAATTAAGTGTCATAAATCAAAAATAATTTGATATGGTAAAAATATAAGTTAACAATTTAAACATATTAATAAGGGAAGAATATAGAAAACCCTGTAAAATAAATAAGTGTTGATTAGTTTATAATACCAATAACTTATTTACAAGAAAGCTAACAAAATTAACTGGAGCAAACTTTATTAAATAAATTCATTAACAGATCAAGACTACCAAACAATAATATTATATTTTATCATTTACTCATATCCCTATTTGACCCTTCCAAAAAAAAAAAAAAAAAAACCCCAAAAAAACCATTCTAAGCAACTAAAGAACATGAACATATTGAGAATAATCCTTTATACATATCCTACATCCTTTATCACCTACGTACAAGGAAGATGACTTAGAAGCAATAATTACCTTTTCTTCTGCCGTAAGGTCCGGAAAAAGTGGTGTTTTTGCCAATGACGTTTTCGTCCACGTACTTGAGAAGTTTCACAGGATCCGTGGACTTCTGCGACGACTTTGTTACTTTGACGTAATCGTCCGGCAAGGCGTAGAACTTTCGGTTGGCGAACCTCTTAGTCGTATTCTTGACGGTATTCATGGTACGATTTGATCGTCACAGCGCTAATCTCATGACATTCGCAGCACAAATATACTGCCGTTGAGCAAGTGATTCGCGTAAATGGACACAAAAGTGACGAGCGGACAACAGTTACGCAAATCGCGTCTGGCTGTAAACCGTAATTGAGAAATTGGCACGAAAGAAATGACTTGAAAAACGAAAATTCAAAAGTATCATAATTCCGTGGCGCGGTTAGTGGAGCGATAAGTAGCGGACGACGTGCGAATACACACTTGTACGACACACGTTCGCGCGTTTGAAATCACAATATTATCTTAACGCAACTGTACGTCTGTATCATGTTCGAGTGTTTTCATGCGGAAATATAATAATAATAAACAGTGTGACCGCCTAGTACGGTGAAACCACAGTCGCGCGAGTAAACTGTAATAAAACATGACGATAATAGTTATATTATCACCGTATTTCCGAGCAAGGTCGACGTATAAAAGTTGTGTAAAAAAAACTTGTTGAAAATATTATTCCATAATTTCTAGTTAATGTTCTCAAGATTAATTCAACACCAAAATTGTGTTTCTACGACCAACCTTACCAACTTGGTACTATTGGAAATTCGAAGATACCCAAGCACGGGTTTTTGGTCGATTTTTGGACTCTGACGGCCTCTAATCGGTTAAACCAGTGATCGGCAACCTTTTTGGATCCTTGGGCCACATTAGAAATTAAAAAGGGTTCGCGGGCCAGACGATATAAAAAAATTGACATGATATTCAATGAAATTTCCTAGTTTTGGAATTTAATGCGGGCCGTATAAAAGTGACGTGTGGGCCGGATGCGGCCCGCCGGTTGGCGACCACTGGACTAAACAATATTATTATACTTATCTATTATTATTGTCATCGGACGGCTGATGACGGTGGTGGCCGTTCGTATATAAAGCACGATTTACGTCACGATTATGTATTGTACGACGTACGTAAAAATTATATAATAAGTTCTAAAATAAAACGATATGATAATAATTGTAAAAAAAAACGTAATAACGGATAAACAACACACATAGTTTCGGTGCTGGTCCGCATCCTGTTAATTATGTTGTTCGCGATAGTTGCATTATAAATGGTCAAACGTGACACTCGTGCAACGACATCGACGTGGTGTAAAAAACGATTCGTAATGCAGATGTATTGAATGTAATCTTAAGATATTACTTATTTAGTATTTACATATATTCTTTCGTATTCAAAATATACACTATAATGTGTAATAATAATACATGAATGATCAAATAATGTCGTGCCCACACGCCCACGAGATTAAAAAAAAGATATGACTACAGGGCACCAACACCATAGAATTAGGTGGAAAATTGCCAACATTATCTTTATTTATTTATTTATTTATTTATTCATGTTTTGTCGGGCTTATGCCCTTTTTATAAAATTATAATAACTAATACATTATAAATAACTAATATGGGTATTTCACGAATCAAAACAATAATAATATTAATGAAGTCCAAATCTTAATTCTTGTACAAATTACAATACTTCCAGTAGGTACACCCATGGCTAATATATATGTATACGTGAAATATTGAAACCATTAGTACATCCCATATATAGTGAATCTAATATACACCAACTCCTTATACTGACCGTTATTTGTTATCCAATAACAAATGTAAAATCTGATGAAATGCATAAATATATAGTGCGCTAGCAAGTTACAAAATGATTATTAAACTATACAATTTTTATCCTGGAAATTCGGTGCCACATCAGTACCACGATAAATTTATATCTATTAACCGTACGTCAGTATATTAAATTTGGTTTAAAATACATTATTTTTTCCACCCTTCATAGTCTTATATAATATTATTATAATATGTAGGTAATGTCATAGATATCAAACATCGCAAGGCTTTTAGTTATTGAGCTGTATCTATTACATGCATTTAAATAAAATAGTCTGAATTTCTGATAACATAGCTTTTCGTATCGAACTTTTTAGTATTTTCTGTAATACGCACATTTACTTAAAATAATAATAATATATTATTTAATTATTAATTATTGTTTTCTTCAATTTATTACCCACACAATTATAATATCTACATACGATCCATACGAATCTATATGTTCGTAATAAATGTACTAACACTTTAAATTATCATTTATATCCAATAAATTATTATGATTCCTATACTTAGAACTAATTTTACTGCGAATAATTATGAAGTTACTAGCGTTAGAAGTATTTTTTCTTAAATGTATTTATGCTTTATATATTACCCACATAAAAATTGTGATTAAGTATAAAAGTAAACAAAATTTTTTTTACTTTTAAAATACTTTTAAATTATTGATTATTATTTTGAAAGACCATGAATCTATTTATTTTTTTACAGACAGTCCTTACATTCTTACATTATTATTACATATATTAATTTATAAATTGTTACTCAAAATATCATTTTGAATTGTTGGTTTATTAAAATTATCAGAAAATGTGATACCTACCAAAATCCAAGAAATGTGATGAATACTTGCAATTGCATGTTTCCAAGACAACGGCTATAAATATTCATATTTGTTCAATAAAACCATACATTTCAGCATGTGAATAATCAATTTATGTTTAAGTCATTTCAAGTAAAAAAATACATTAAATATTATAATTATATTATAATTAATATATACAAAAAATATATATTTTAAATAATAAATTAACTATTAAAAAATATGTTTAATGCCGGAAAACCTTTACCAAAAGATCATGCTGAAGTGGCTAAACGAGTAAAAGCAAGCCTTTTTCATGAAGAACGAAAAAAAACGAATTTTTAATCCAGCTACAAGGACTATTGGAGTAAGTCATAGTTAATTATTTATAGGTGATTATTATGATTTATTAGTAAATCTTCAAACAATTCGTTAAATTAAAATTATTTAAACAAATATCATTTTCGATTAGATTGACAAAGATGCTCTTGATAAACAAGTCAAAGAAAAGAAGATGTTACAAGACCAAGAGAAAACCAAAAACCAAGCTTATTATAATAAATTATTACAAGATTGTGAAGCCTCATTAAGATTAGATGAACAAAAGAGAAAAGTAATTTTAGAGTATTCAAAATTAATTAATTTTAATAAAGTAGGTAAATGTAGAAAAAACACTAAAGAAAAGATGATTAGATAATATTTTAATGGTCAGCAAAAAGTTTATGAAGTTTATAAATAAAATTAAAATTCGTCACTTAATTATATAACTATACTAGGGGCATTAGAATACTAAAATTATTTGCATGAACAATTAATCTATATAATTTAATTCACTGAGAAAAAATGTTAGAATGTTTGAGTTGAATTTTTTTTTTTTTTTGTAAATAATTTGATAAGTATCTAACTCTTTTTTTTTGTAAATTACGTTGTTAAGTTTCATATAAAATCTTGGACCTTGTCCCTCAAATTTCGATGTAGAATTAATATACATTTACTATTGACTACATTTTATAGTTGTGTAAAATACAATACTTTTACAGGTATGTAATTAAAATCAAATTAATGTGGTCGATTAAATTTCACGAAGGATATATTTTTAAAAATAACGTTATCAAAATGTCGACTGTAAAATAATGCAAGGGCCAGTTGTGAATGGAGGAGGTTTGGCAGAGTATGCGACGGTACCACTAACTTAATAGTGTTAATAATCGACCCATATGCGCTGTTAAATAAAAATAAAATATATATATATATATATATACATTTTAAATTAATATACAATTTATTTAATTTTCTCCCCAGCGAGAGAAGCGCATTTTGTTCGTATAATAGTTGCTGACAGGACAGGTGGTGTTACTATCGGAAATGACGATATAATTTGATAGAACATATAGAAAGTATACCTATACTCAGGTCCATGCGCAGGAATTGTCAAAGGAAGGGATTCAAAATGTTATGTTAGGCAAAAAGTCAATAAATATAATAGACGTTGGAATATCCATGATCAAAAATATCAGGATCGAAAATCAATAAATGTCAACTAATGTCTGATAATCTTGAATAGCTGATTTATCAATGAAAATGCATTCTTACAATGGCTGTATTTACAACTATAATGGACAGTAGCAATATATTTCATAAATTTTTTGATAAAGCTCTTTTAAAAATAATATTTTATGAATTTATTATAGTATACATATTTTCAATAAAAGAAATAAATAAAAATACATTTTTTATATTTTATTTGACAGTTTTATTTTTAAATTCATGATAATAACATTTTTTCTTAAATATATATGCAACTGTAATGTAAAATATAGTACAATATTATATTTTATTCATGTCTTACCAATCAACGTACTAAAGCCCAATAATTATTGTATAAATAAATTTTTATCAATAAAAATAAGTGTTGAAATTGTATTGTACAAATAAAATATTTATGGTTTATGATTAGAATTTAAAGAAAGTATACGAATAGTGTTAGGGGCGTAGCCAGGATTTTTCAATGTGGGGGGGGGGGGGTTAAAGTTTAGATCTATACAATAGGTAGGTATACATAAAACATATTATTTTAAATTTTCTTTTACGTTATTTAAAGCATTAAAGTCAAACAATATTTTAATTACATTAAAATTTACATCAAACGTAGTTTTCTTGTTATGATCGCTAATTTATTTAGGGCATCATCAGGGTTTATCTTTAAATCACTGTGTATATTCATCATTGCCAAACCATTCAACCTATTTTCACATGTGATGTTTCATAAACATGTTTTCAGTCTTTTTAATATTGAAAAACATCGTTCACTGTTAGCAGTTATAACTGGAAGAATTGCTAAAATCTGTAAAAGTTTGAAAGTAGAAGGAAAAATTGATATGTAATATTTTTGAAGAGCGTTGATAGCATTGTTTTGGTAAATATTTAGTTCCTGTACATTTTTGTTGCCAAATTTTAATTTCACTCACAGCTGCTAACACACTGCAATCTAAATCGCCTAATTACATTTCAACTACCTGCTAAATTTTATATTCATATTGTATACTTTTGGATGATGGTAAAATAACGTTAATATTTTCAATCATAGATCTATGAGATAAAAATCGATAATTTAATTGATTTAAAAAATAATCTATAAATGGAATGAATAAAAATATTCTGTAATAATCCTCAGGCAAATCTATCTGGATATTGCATCTGTTGTTTTGCTGTATGAATAATAGATATTTCAATGTTTAACGCATCACATTTAGATTTTACATTATTTAATATAATTTTAAATTCAATTTTATCATTTAATTTTAATTGTTGAATTATATTTACTACGTCATCAGCGGTTTGAATAGCTTCAACCAGATCTATATTCTTTGTCTGAAGAAACTTACTTAATGGTAAACCCAAACTCAATACATGTCCCAATATATAAGTTTCTAGTATAAATTCTGGTTGTCTTATAGTACACAAAAATTGGTATGCTCCTGATGAAGCATCCTTATCAAGCCAAGTACAAACTTCTGATAAACTATCAACTATTGCATTAAATAATTCGGGGAATTATTGAGTCATGACGGTCTACCCATCTTGTTGGACATAAAAGTTTCAAGCGGTTATGGGTTGATGAAGAACATACACGTCATATTGATTCGGATAAAACATTTATTTTTTTTTGGGGGTATTAAAAAAAAATCCAAACTTATGATGAGAGAAAAAACTGTTTTCGTACATGATAAATTGATAACATAGAATATCGTTAGTAATGGTTATAGTTATATAATAATTAATATGATATTATGTACATATTATTATATTATTACGTACCATTTTTCAAATAAAAACGCATCGTTATCAGCTACTAATGGTAGGGAGGGGTTACAACACCAAAATCCCCCATGGCTACGCCACTGATTATACGTTCTATGAATCCTCTCCGACCCATTGTTAGTTCTAAAAAATAATTATAAAAGCTTCAAAATATAACCGCACTACTTTGATGTGCACCAAATCTAACATCAAATCTGAAAACGCCTTACGAAAAAAAGCAGGAAAAAACATTCACAGTAGTGTCACGGGAAAAGGTCCGTTCACAATCGTATATAACCCCTTCAATATAGTATTTATATATATATATATATAGCGTCTTATCACAACTTATATACTTATTCCGAGGCTGTTACCAGCACGAACCGTTTTAATATTATACTTATTCTTCTTTATAGGTTAAAAGTAGTGCATTTAGAACTATTGCCTCTTCTAAAACATTGTTTTTTCTCTTTCTATCCAATGCCAGTTCCATATTCAGCAATGGATTAACTCTCTTTAGATAATATTTAAATATATTGATATTAGAGGTGGCTCCAGGGTAGAGGACTCAGGGCCGCTGTCCTCCTCCCCAAGCCCATACCATGTTTATAAAAAAATTTATATTAACAAAAAATGCATATTATAATATGGACTATCATACGACACGCACAAGTATGTAGATAGAGCCATAGAGGTATGACGGTTGAAAGGAATTTTTCCACATTTCGGAGACTAAAAACTTGGCTTCATTCAAGGATGACTGAAGATAGACTATCAAAATTATGTCTAATTAATGTATATCATAAAGTATATATTTTAGATCAAATAAATCATATTATTGATATTTTTGCCAATTTTAAAAATAGACAACCTGAATTTTTGTGTTGTAAAAATTGTTGTTTTCTATTTGTTATAAGATTTTTTAAAATTATAACTTGCCCTCCCCCTAACCAAGGCTCTAGAGCCACCCCTGATTTATATAATACATAATATGTATTATATAAACACATATTTTTTAAACACCCTGGTTAAGTGTTAAAATTGGCATGCCTAATATTTTGCACATCCAGAAAAAGAACTGAAATTATGTCCCTGAAATAGTAATTAAAATAACTATTATACGTGCCCGCCTGACGTGAATAATTGAGTCTAGTTTTAAGTGTAAAAAATATTTTATTAAATTTTCTAACAATAGTAACTGAACAATCATAAATATATCTTATTATAGGGTGTACCGAGTACGAAAATCATACAAGATACAATCTCCACTCCTTTATTGAAAATGAATAATTTACGTTAAAAATATTTATTTTTAGAATCAAAAACAATTAGATTTAGAGATTTTGGAGTTCAGAAAAAAATACCAAGCACCTGAAATGCGAAGGGAATTTGATATAAATGATCCTTTAAAATGCAAAAACATCAAACCAAATTATGATAATGACCAAAGTAATACAGTAACTTTGTAAGTCAACAGATAATGAATGATTTCTATTGTGAAAGTGTTTATGTGAATATACAGGTATATTTTATGTTTTAGTTTTGAGGGCGGAGAAGATTCAACGAAAGAAGAGAGAGCAGAACAAATATTACAACAGCGGGTATGGTTAGAAATGCAAATACGTGACAAGAAAATGGCCCAGGAAGAGGATAAAAACTTAGAACGAATTTGGCAAGAAATTCAGTATACTACTGCTCAACGAGCATCGGCAATTGAATCGCTCGAAAATGAATGTAAAAAAAAACTGTTAGAAGCTAACCATCGTTATAACCAAGCATTAGTCAGTGTTTTTACTGTTTCTAACTTAACAACATAATAGAGTAAACGAGACGTTTAATGTTATCACATTCATATAGGCTGCCGAGCAAAAGATGAATAGAGCTTCAGCAGAAGCCGAGAATACAGAGGACAAAATGGCAGAAGTATACAACGCTATCAATGGAGATTTCCTGACTGAGAATCCTGAACCCGGATTTAATAGCGCTTTAGGTCCAGGAAAAATAGCCAAATCACTATATAAAGGATTAACTCCAGCTATGAAACAAGCAATATATGATGAACAAGCTAATCAAAGAGTGGAACTTAGGGTATGCCACAAATAGCACTCAAATGAATTAAATTGCTCATAACCGCGCCTAGGAACTGACAAGGAGGATATCGGTGATGAAATATTACCAAAGACACATTTGGTCAATGATTATCGTCGAAATTGATCATTAGAAAAATTTGACAATAATCATTTTGTAATCAAAAAACCAAAAAATCCCATAATAAGAGAGAATAATTTAAGATTAAATATTATTAACAGTATTCCAAATGAGGTCGCGTCAGGTTGACAATTGATGTAAACATTTTGTCAAACGGTATGAGAAGACCAAATAGGGAGAAGAATAAAAAACTATGTATGGTACTTATAAATTTAGATAAGTTTTAAAGTGGGCATTAATGAAAAAAAAGGTCCCAAAAATGTACATAAATTTGATTCTGGATATGTATGAAAGCTCGAGTACTAGTGTTAAGAGTTTTTATTGATTAACAGAATGAGGTTGATAGTTAAATTTTACAGGAGTGAAATGAGACCAATTATGCTATATGATGCGAGTGTTGGATGGTTAATAGAAGAATAGAACATAGTATGAGTGTTGCCAAAATGAGTATGCTTAGATGAAAGAATGGAGGGACAAGAAAAGATAGAATAAGGAACGAATACGTGAGAGGTAGTATTGGTGTAGCGTTAACAATGGAAAAGATGAGATAAAATATATTGAGATGGTTTGGGCATGTAATGAAACGACTGGAAACAAAAGCAACAAGAGTGGTTATGAAAATTAAAGTTGAAGGAAAAAGAAGAAGAGGAAAACCAAAAAAGAGATGGTTGGATACGATTGAGAATCATATGGGGGATGTTGGTGTGTGCGTAGAGGATGTAGAAAATCAAGACAAGGGTTAGGACAAAGATGGCTGACCTCAAATAATTGGGAAAAAGGCAAGGGAGAAAAAGAAGTTAAGGTTAAATATATTTTGTCCGTTGTAAGGGGGCTTGAAAGTATTTCTGTATAGCTTTGATAATACGCGTTGGCTTAATATATTTCAAAATATTCGGTGTTTCAGTTACGAAAAGAGGCATATGAAAAACAAGAAAAAGACTGGTCTGAACTTGTAAATATGTTAGCCAGATGTGGCTCGATTAGTGATGCAGAAATGCAAGAAAAAAAAAAGTAAGTTACTTAATAAATATTAATAATAGGTAATTAATTAATTTATATACTTTAAGGAGCTTGGAAGATAAAATAAAAGATTTCAATTTAAATCTAGCTTGTGAACAAAAAAAAGAACAAGAGTTTTTGAATAATGTTTTCTATAAAAATAAGACTTCAGATGAATTTTACGAACAATTCAATAAAACAACTCGATAATGAATAGATTGAGTATAATACAATCACAACAACAACCCTTCGTAAACTACGTGTAAAAATGGCTAAGTAAAAAAAAGTATTAGATCTTTAAGCAATATAAAGATATAATATCATGAATAAATCAGGGACGTATTCGAGGAGGCGAAGGAGGCGATCACCTCTCCCCCTAAATTCATATTTAATGAATCGATTATATGTACGATATATATTTCAAATTTTTTAATGTGAATCATTTTATAATGAAATCAAATTAAACGTAGCTGTGAATACTGAATTGGGATTTTTGTCGGATCCATACTTACATAGTGAAAAATCAAATAAAACACAAGCGTAACTTTCAAAACACAGGTGTTAAAAAAAAACTACACAAACGTCGATTCTAAGTGGATCTGGCATTAGTTTAAAAAAAAACCACAAATATTAATAATGCATCTGATTTAAATATTACCAAAAATTTTACTTGTACATTTTGAACCTGAATTAAAGAAAAAATGGAGTCGCCTCCCCCCTAGAATTAAATCTAAATACGCCTCTGGTAAAAATGCTAAGTATAATGAATTTAAGTTAACTTATTTTACTTCAATAATTTAATTTAATAATTTACTCGGCGAGGAATTATTCCTTAAAATAAACAAAAAGTGATGAATAAAATAATAAAATGGCGAAGAACTATTAAAATATAACTTATTATTATTTTAAAAATATTATTATTAATATATATTTATATATATACTATTTTCAATAATTCCTTGTAAAGTAAATAAATTATTGAAATAAAATAAGTTTACTTAAATTTAATATACTTAGCATTTATTCATGATATTACATCTTAATATACTTCTTCTTCCGTGACTTCGGCCTTTGAGACCATGTCGTCCAACAAATTTACCTCCAAGTTTCCCTATCTAAAGCTAACTCCTTCCAATCCATTCCTGGTCTCACCTTTACTATGTCTTCTTTGATCCTATCTTCCCAGCGTAACCGTTATGAAAAAATATATACTAAATGAAGGTTATAAATTGACTTATTTTTAATAACTATGAAAATTAGAATACATAAATTTAATTACAGGACAAAGTCTAATTTTTGAGGTAGATTTGCAAAATTATTTATCACTTCTTCAGTGTTTATTGAAATACTTCGATGAATTGACATGAGATAATCCTGTTAGTCGATTTTCGCTTGTACTATTTCTCAAGCACGACTTCAATCTTTTCAATATCGAAAACGATCTTTCTGATGACGCTGTTGAGACTGGTAAAGTTACTAATATTGACATTAAGCACCATATATTTGGAAAAAATCAACGGATAGTTTATTCAAAGTATCAATAGCAGATTTGGATTTCTGACAAACCACGGAACATATGCAATTATTCTGAGGACTTTGTTTTGGACAATTTGCATTTTTTTGATGTGCGAGGATGCACAATTACCCCATACCGGGCAAGCGTAGGTAAGAATTGGGCGTATAATTTACTTAAAAATTAGGAGAGAGCATTTTTTCCCATACTAGACAGTTTGGTTTTAATTAATACATAGATTAAAGAAATGCACACGTGGGTCGTACTAACCATAAATTTCGAGCGGGGTTTGAACCCCCAAAACCCCCCTCCCCCTTTATACGCCACTGAATATATTCGTAGTTTCATTATTACACTTTGAACTTAAAATATACAACTATATAAATATTATGATAATTAAATAATTATATTGATAGGTGTTTGAAAATTTTTGTTAACTATGCTGTTTTTATATTCCAATAGCTATTAATTTACTGTAATGTAAAAGTAAACTGTAAATTGGTAAAAAAGTTGTATAAAATAATATCTATTTATAGCAGTTATTTATCTTATTTATCTGTGCAACCAAAAAAAAAAAAAGATAACGATTATTTTTGTTAACCCCCACCCCTCAGAGCAAGATTGAATGCGCGCCGCTGAAAATAATTATAAGTTATATAAAAAGCAAATTCATAAATCCGGATAATCCGGAAACTTCCGAAAATCCGGATAAGAATTTGATTCAAATCCGGATTTGAATACCTGCATATCCGGATAATTCAAATATTCCGATTTCATGCATATCTCTAATAACGATAATGTATTTATATTTTTATCTGTATTATATATATTGTATCTTTATATATAAATGAATGGTGGACTATATAACTTTATCTAAATAATGTTCTATAATTGTTTTAGTTTTGTTTTTCTAGAATTTATGTAAACGTCTTTACCACCACGAGGCCATCTTTCTTCATTAGAAATAAGATCATTACACCTAAACCAAATATTCAATGTTTTATAAAATTTATAAATTCAAATATTTTTTTATTCAAATAATAAATACAACTATTTGTATAATAGCTCAGTTCTACCAATGTCACAGTTGTATGCGATATGTGAAGAATAGTTCACGCTATAATACTAGAATATGCTATAAAAATAAACTCGATAGCTACAAACGACGACAGATAACGAAATGAATGCATGGTTATGACTAGGCTTAGTCATTACCTTAGGGTAATTACCTCTTAGGGATTTATAGCTCTAAAAAATACACAAATATGCTTCTAAAATCATTAAAATATGCATTATAATATGCATTTAAATGCATTAAAAAAAGAAAAATGACCACATAGTACATAAAATAAAACGTGTCCATCGGATATATGGTAAATGTATCTTCAGACTCCGAAATAAAACTTTGTAGTCAGCTACTCGTAGATTATTGTACTTTCAGCATTACACAATGTTACAAAATATACCCGTATGGCGTTTTACGCATGATTCGACGTTGCGTGATTGCAGGCACGTCGTCAAGGGGGGGGCCTTAGGGGGCCTGGCCCCCTAAGAAAAATCAGTGGCCCCGAACTGGCCCCCTTAATTTTGATTTTTAAATATTATGGTGTTTAGTTGTCCCAAACCGGCTAAATCAGAATGAATATTCCATATGGGTGATTGTAAACTGCTAGAATATCGGTTAAGATAAAAAGATAACAATAGGTCTAGTGTAAACTCCGCCAGTTTTTTTTTCTTACCTGTAATGGGTATATGTAAACTCCTCCAGTTTTTTTTTTTTTTTTTTGTTTACCTACTTAGTGCTTATATTGCCACGTGCCTTCTCACATTAAATACGTTGACATCTATTGCGATGATGTGTGTAGAAATTGATAAAATTATTGTCATGGTTCGATTCATTTCAAGGTGAATATATATATCCACATTGATTCATTTATTAATAATTTTATCTTCATATTATCTGAAATTAGTATTTCCAATGATAATATCGGCAGTTGGTAAGGTATACGTAAAGTATACTTTGACGAACATAATCATTCGTAGTCTGTGTGTCTCCATGTATATTTTATATTGAACGAAATATGTCGCTACAAAGTAATATTATAAAATTAATTACTGGTCAACGAGGTAATTTATTGGTTTTATTTGACAACTACAAATATATCCAAAATATAAAATATGCGTCTGATAAAATAAAATTGAGGTATGATATTATATAATATTATAATAATAATATTAATTTATTATTACTTATTACTTTTAATAATATATCATATTAATTTTATACTACTACTCGATTTTCTTCACTGGCGTAGTTTACATGAACCCAATTTTACCTGTTTTATTTTTCTGGCGGAGTTTACATGCGCCCATTCCATATAATTAACGATCGTATAACAAAAATTAAATTCTGAGATTCTATTTTATAAATATTCGTCGCTTGACAATTTGAGATGAGACAATAGTACGTGTATTAATAGATTGAAAACTAGGAATTCCAAATACGGATATCGAACGCACATTTGATAAACACAACTACAGAAAGGGGCCAAAAAATGTTGGCCTCCTTATAGAAATATGTCTGGTTACGAAACGTGGTTGCGTGGTTACGAGATGCAAAAACAACGACGGATAATAATCGACTGAACTAAATAAATAATCTATTATTCCATATCGACTATTATTTTTATCGACATTTGGTCGATATCCAGCGGGTTATACGATCGATACGGGTTTATAGTATTATTTATACTTGCACAAAAATTATTGCTCAAAAAAACGAGGTATGAGAGGTAGTTTGCAGATAGCATATTACTGGAAGTATTAAGTCCTTTTAGTACATTTTTTTTCGATCATTTGAAATATGTATATACATATATACATATATGTGTATACATAGTTATATATATCTATAATTTTTAATTTTAAATCTGAAAAATTTGTCAAAATATGCAAAATAGTCATAAAAATTGTAAAATATGAACTGTCCTGCAAAATCTATCAAACATGCAAAAATATACACATTCAAATTTTAGATCTGATATCATGGCACCGAGAAACGAATTTATTTCGCACTCTGCTAAATTTAACAATAATTAAAAAAAAAGTATGCAAATGCTAGAAGTTCCTAAGCCTAGTTATGACTAGGGATGTTGCGATATTAAAGATACCAATAAATTATCGATACTTTTTTTTCGATACAAGTACTTTTTGTATCGATACCATGATTTCGATACTTTACTCATATCAATAAAAAAATACTGGTATCGAATGTATAGTATCAAATCATTTACTAATCGCTATATTGGTTCAAAAATCAAAAGTACTCGAATGGTCGAACGGTATCGTACAATAATTCTTTTTTAGTAAAATGGTTTGCGCGCTAGGAGGAGGATTTGTTTACATAAATCAGTCATCACACTATAGTTTATACTCTATACGATTATATTGTTATTTCTACGGACCAGAAACAACAGTCAACAATGCAATAGCGTCGATAGGTCAGGAACGATTATTCATATCGGTCGTTTTAACCTATACACTAGCGACCTGCCTAAAATTATCTCCAAAAAGTTCATTTACGCTGAGGACATATGCGTGGTATGTAATAAGAAACTGCTCAATGATTGTGAAATAATACTCGATAAAGATTTAAAAATACTAGAAGCCTACTTCAAACAATGGAGACTCCGGCCGAATCCAGACAAAACTGAGTCTTCTCTTTTTCTCCTCAACAACAAATCAGCTTACCAAAGCCTAAACATTAACTTCTGCGGAAACAACGTGAAACATAATCCCTATATACCTCGGACTTACGCTAAATAGTACCCTAACATATAAGACACATTTAA